TCTTCCATAAAGACGACTGCAGCTTACGTGGCTATTCGATTTAGCGCTGCTTGACGCTTCTTCTTCATTTTCTGGCAAATCGTCGAGAGAAGGGCATTGCGTGTAATGGAGGTGCACCTCTGCAGTTCTGCTTACGCAGGCTCAAGGAATAAAAAGGGAGTCATTTGTAACCCGAATGAGCACTTTGGAGACGCTTCGATCCGGATGACAGTGATCGCCGAGTGCTCTCAAGACGGCTTCGCAAGTGCGGATCCGAGTGCGAATCGAAGTGCGAATCGTAAGCGGCGATGATCCTCCAGCAGGATTCTCCCTTGAAACATATAAGAGAGGAAAGCTCTCTCCTCGATGGCCTCGACACGTGGCGGAGAATACGGAAAGAAGGGTTTGATTTTCAGCGTACTTTGTCGAGGGCTGGGCCGCTTTCTGCAGCTTACTTGGGGAGCTTTTAAAGGAATCCAGGCGAAATTGGCCTCTGTTATCAGAGGCTCGAGGAGATTTTTCACTCTCGGCAACGAAATCATCGATAAGAAAATCGTTTTGGCAGATTTTGTACTCTTAGCGACAATCATTGATAAAGAAATTGTTAAGGCAGTTTTTTTATTAACGACGATATCATGGATAATGAAATCGCTAGGGCAGATTTTTTACTATTAGCGACGTAATAATTGATAAGAAAATCGCTATGGCAGATTTTCTACTCTTAGCGACGTAATCATTGATAAAGAAATTGTTAAGGCAGATTTTTTATTAGCGCCGATATCGTGGATAAAGAAATTGCTAGGGTAGATTTTTTACTATTAGCGATGTAATCATTGATAAAGAAATCGCTATGGCAGATTTTTTACTCTTAACGACGTAATCATTGATAAGATACTCTATATGGCAGATTGTTACACATAGCGACGTAATCATCGATACAATGCCCACTTTATCAAGCCAAAAGCAAAGTCGATGATTGACTTCTTAGGCCACAAGTTGAAATTAAATGATACTTAAAAAAAGTTCACGCAAAGTGTGTCAATATGAAAATATACAAATAAATGTAGACAGTAATCTGCACAAAAAAGAAAATAAGTATCGTTCTACTTTCCGAAATTTGTCCCTAGCATACCACGGGAATTACCACAAAAAGCTTCACTTGAAACATTTTTGTAATTTGAAAGCACAGCAATACAAAATTAAATTTGAATTTCGTTCGCTCTTCCAAGCACGTGGTAATCATTTTTCTAGAACTCCTTCGTATGTAATAAGGTCGAGGTCCATGCAGTTTTATGCCCCATATGCCATTCCCCTAACCGTCCAACGGTCTTATAATTCGTATAATATCGATTCCTCCCACCCTAACCCCCGACCTGCTCGTTTTCCCGGAGAAATTTCTCGATTTAGAACCCTGGAAAATCGGGAAACGTTCATAAGTGTCTTTCGCATGCCTCCCACGTGGCCGTCACTAACAGTGAGTTCGCAGCCATTGCACGTTGATATGCATAACTCCACCTTTCTCGATTCACAAGTCGCGATCATTTTCCATATTTTCTACATTTTCGACCTTCTTGATGTTTCCTACATTTTCGATGTTATCAACATTTTCCACATTTTTCTGGCTCATGAAGGGTGTTAGGAAAATGGTGGGCGCGGTTCACTCGACGCAATCCTTGTCGATAATGTAATCCAGAGGTTCTGCGCTATTTTTATGTCTACAGTGCATTGTTTACCTGTAGTAATTAAATAAAAAAAATAGCTAAATCGAAGGGGGTTAGTTGTCTTGAACTTACGTCGTAGAGAATACAGTGTGGCTGATACGCTATCCTTGTCCAAAATAGAGTCAAAACGTCCTGTACCATTCTTCTTTTCTACAGTGCATGGTTTACCTACGATTATTAATTAAAAAATAGGTAACTAGGCTCGTCGATTAGCTGAACGCGAATCGAAGAGGTCGCAATAAGTTGTCTTTTGTCTCTCACCGTAGACATCGAGCAGCTAATACGCTATCCTTGTCCAAAATAGTGCATAGTGCAAGTGCATGGTTTACCAATTATAATTGTAAAACAGCTAACTAGACGCGTCGAATAGTGATTATTCATTTAATAACATCTAACTAGGACCGTCGATTCGCAAATAGGTCTCAATGAGTCGTCTTTTGTCTCCACGTCAAAGACATCAGCGAGACTGATACGCGTTCGGCAAGTCGACGCGTCAGATTGCCCGTTTTTCAATCAATTATTACAGGTAAACAATGCACGGTGAAATAAAAAATAGCACCGCGTAAGCAACATCCACCATTTTTGTCCCGTCCTGTATATCGATCCCGTGTTCAAAGGGCCAGGAGGGATTTAACTCCCGAGAAATCGAGTCGAAAGACCCCTTTCTTGCGGCGCCCATTGAGGCTCGTTTCCTGGAGTAGTCGGTCCATTTGGAGCTCCGAGAGATCGGAAAATCGGAAAATTGGAAAATCGAAGAAATCGGGAAATCGGCCATGGCGAGTCTTTGCGGTATTTCAGCAAGACTGCAACTGGGTGACCGTTTCTATCCTGGCATTGGTCGAGGTCGACAGCTGGCGAAGATTATGACGAATGGTTCCCCGATGGACGGGATTCGCGTTCCTAGGCCAGTCGTCACTGACGTTCCGAGTGTCAAAGCCAGGAGACAAACTCGAGTAGCTAGCGAGACGTGACGGGGATCGATGGATCCTCCATTTCTTTTTTCCGCTTCGGCAAAAAGCATCGACCAGCACTCGGACCCCCAATGGTGACAATTCCCACTTAGATGAAGAGGTCACATCAATCGGGTCGAGATTTTAATCAATTTTATATAGACTAATCTGACGTCATAACAAGTAGACATGTAGGAACCTTCGCTCGAATGAATCATATTTAATGAGATCGATGGATGCTCCATTTCTTTTTTTTCCACTTCGGCAAAAAGCATCTACCAGCACTCGGACCCCCAATGGTGACAATTCCCACTTAGATGAAGAGGTCACATCAATCGGGTCGAGATTTTAATCAATTTTGTATAGACTAATTTGACGTCATAACAAGTAGACATGTAATGAATCATATTTAATGAGATCGATGGATCCTCCATTTCTTTTTTTTCCGCTTCGGCAAAAAGCATCTACCAGCACTCGGACTTCCAATGGTGACAATTCGCACTTAGATGAAGAGGTCACATCAATCGGGTCGAGATTTTAATCAATTTTATATAGACTAATCTGACGTCATAACAAGTAGACATGTAGGAACCTTCGCTCGAATGAATCATATTTAATGAGATCGATGGATGCTCCATTTCTTTTTTTTCCGCTTCGGCAAAAAGCATCGACCAGTACTCGGACCCCCAATGGTGACAATTCGCACTTAGACGAAGAGGTCACATCAATCGGGTCGAGATTTTAATCAATTTTATATAGACTAATCTGACGTCATAACAAGTAGACATGTCGGAACATTCGCTCGAATGAATCATATTTAATGAGATGTCTTTTTTATTTAGCCTAGACTAGATTCAAGATCACATATTTTTTTGTGAAAAATGAAATTTCACGAGCATCGGGTTCATCTTCGGGGCCTCCATAATCACGAGCTAATGTTTCAAATGATTAGGTGTATCCAGTTTGGCGAAAGCAAGTAATTGTCTTTTTTATTTAGCTTAGACTAGATTCAAGATCGGATATTTTTTTGTTAAAAATGAAATTTCACGAGCATAGGGTTCATCTTCAGGGCCTGCATAATCACGTGCTGAGGTTTCAAACGATTAGGGGCATCGAGTTTTATAAATACTTTTACGTATATATAGAACGACCCTTTCATATCACCTTAAGGACCTGTCATTGTCCCGAATGACGAGGACGAGCAGGGATCTCGAGAGCCGCAAAACCGCAAACGAATCCAGTCGAGTTACTCCCAAGTTTCGGTTGGCAGCGCATCGCTCCGTATAAATTCCCAGCTGGATATACACACTCCTGTTTCCTTAATTTCCATAACTTATTTACCGAAGTCCGAAGTTCGGTAACTGCTTCGAAACCTCTGGCCGAGACCTCGGTTACGCCGAGGGAACTCCGCCAATGACATTTCGAGAACTCCCCTCTAAGGCGGTTTCCATATAACGTTAGCATTATACAAGGCGTTTCAGGGAGGCAACAATGTTCGCAACCGCATCGTGCGTACTTACGGAACTACTTACTCTCCTAATTTGCATATGCTGTTCTAGGATCCTGGAAAGTAAGAGCAAGTCGAAATGCGCGAGGAGACGTTGCTCCAGACTCGCACTTATTTCCCTTCTTTCGTATCACCTTAAGGTGACATGAAAGAGTCAGCCTATATATACACATACATACATACATGCATATATATAAATCCTACGCCGCATCGTTACGTGGAAAAAATTATATTAATTATATAAATTAAAATCATGTGTCGGATCATACGGACCTTATGGCCCTGAAGATCCACATAATACAAGTACATCTGTTCTAAAATTCATATTATCACTTAAAATCACGTGTCTATGAAAATCTACAGTTTTCTATTTCCATCCAACCACATAAAAAAAAAAAATTAAAAACTCAATTCGAAAACAACATTTTATTTGGCGAGCACCCAAAGTGCTCATTGGACCTCTCGTCAGCATTTCAGCGCTCGCCAAATAAAATATTATCTTCAAACTAAGTTTATAATTTTTTTCATTTGATCATATTTAGTATCGTTTCATTTGATTACATGAAAATAGAAAACTGTAGATTCTCATAGACCCATGACTTTAAGTAATAATATCAATTTTATAATAGACATACTTTACGTGGAACAAAATGTGCCACAATTTGTCAATAATATCTGATTTGAGTGTTTAATAAAATGCAAGTACTAACATACCTTGCGAAAATAGTTTCCATTTGTCATTAAAAAAAAAATAATAAAAATTGAATTATTTTTGCAATTCAAGAGAGGAACAAGAGTGTATTTGGGGAAGTGTTTTTTTAACACCTGAAGTGACTTTTGAGGTTATACCGACCTGATGGCACTGAAGATCTCGTGGAAGCCGGTGCCCTGATGACTAGGTGCATCACAGGTTGGCAGGGGGTGCAGCAGGGGCAGTCTATGACAGAGGACGCTGTCGCTGTTCCTCTTGCTGCTGCCGTTGCTGTCGCGATCTCTGTCATTGGGCGGTAATGGACCATTCCCGGAGCCTGGTCCTGGACCCAGTCCAAACCCTAGCGGAAGTCGCGGCAGGGTGGCTGGCCTGGTTAAACTTCCGTAAGCTGTCAAAGCGCCTCTTGGAAGAGAGGAATAGCAGCGGTTTAAGGGTAGCGTGCCCAGGGTGCTCGATGCACATCCGCTGCTGCCAGATCCCGAGCCCGAGCCTGCACAAACAGTCATTTCGTCGCATAACACTGCCAGCCGCAACGTACACACCGCATAAACCGTATACGCACTTAACGCTCAAGAGCACTCAAAACCCGCCTAACAATATTCCGGTATTTGAGCAAGGGGCCCGCTGGAGAACGAGAGCTAACGCCGTTCTAATTAACGTTTCTCCCCCTCGATGCAAATGGATTGTCTTGTACATAACGGGAGAATTGAATGTTGTACGATACAATATGGGTGCAATGGGTATTGATACTCATCTTGGATTTTTTGGGATACCCCTGGATGGCTCATTATGTTCTAATTAACATTTTCCCCCCTCGATGCAAATGGATTGTCTTGTACATAACGGGAGAATTGTATGTTGTACGATACAGTATGGGTGCAATAGATATTGATACTCATCTTGGATTTTTTGGGATACTTCTGGATGGCTCATTATGTTCTAATTAACATTTTTGTCCTTCGATGCAAATAGATTATCTGGTAGATAATGATAGAATTGTACGTTGTACGATACAATATGGGTGCAATGAGTGTTGATACTCATCTTGGATTTTTTGGGATGCCTCTAGGTGCCTCATTACGTTCTAATTAATATTTTCCTCCCTCGATGCAAATGGATTGTCTTGTACATAACGGGAGAATTGTATGTTGTACGATACAATATCGATGCAATGGGTATTGATACCCATATTTAAAGGGTTAAATTTCCTGAATTTCCAAATAAATAGTCCCTTGTCGAGAAGACTCGGTGATTTTCTGACGTGCATAAAGTGGGAACTGGCTGACGCGATTTTTCCAACATGGCGGCGCAGTTCGTTTTAAGATGGCGGCGCAACGACGCGATCCTTTCAACATGGCGACGCCAAAGGAGAATGAAGCCGAAGGGTTCGCGCTGCGCCTTGACATCGCCAGGGACGAAAGGCAAGTTTCGAGTGCATTAAAGTAAATGCGAGGGGCGGTTTGGAGCACATTTATGACGAGAAGCGAAGGGTCAGGGCGAATTGAAAGAGTGGCTCGAGCCGCATTTACGATTCAAGAGGGAAGTCCAGGTGAGCTCCCTGACGTGGCGATAAAATTCTTATGAATCCCTAAGGAGCCCACATTAGGAATTTACAGTGGGACACACACCTAGAGTCCCGTGTAAGCGACTGGCCGATTATGGGATCATATGAGTCTTGCATAGGCAAGATGGCGTCCTCGCCAGGGAAGAATGGCTTTCTGGAATTACCTGGAAGGTCCTTATTCCAAGACCACCGCGGGGAATCGCGAGAAATGGATGGGGAAGTTCCTTGTTAATTAAGTTGTGCGCGGAAAAAAATTATTTGGTTAGCATTACCACAGCAAGGTGGCTAAAATGAGGGGATCACATGAGTCTTGCATACGCAAGATGGCGTCCTCACCAGGGAAGAATGGCTTTCTGGGATTACCTAGGAGGTCCTTATTCCATTATCACAATTCTCTTCCTGACCACTCTTCCCTTTTCGCGTGGTTCAGCACCTCTAATGATCGTGGGAAATTTTTCTAATGAATTAGAAAATACTCTTAAACATTGGGATCCACTTTGCCAGGATTGGGAGGAGGGAGAATCGCGAAAGAGACGTTCAGGAAAGTGGTGGAGTACCGGGTTGATGGAAAAGGTTCTTCGGGAGCATCGCCGATCGATGGATTTGCGATACATTTGCATATGGTATGTTGTATGACGTTATGTCAAGGAGGCTCCCTGCACGCGGCACGGTATGCTCTTATCCATCGTCTTCCATCATACTTACCTCGGAGGTACGTACGGAAAGTTTAATGTTCTGGACCGGCTGGAGATAAATCCAGACAGTAAACTACTCCGGATTCAGCCTTTCGGCCCGTCTTCCTCGCCTCTCATGATCGCAGGAGAGACTCGGAAGGGGCAAAAAGGAACGAAAAGTCTACCGTAAGAAGTCACCTCGAAAGATTCTCCAGGAAGAGCAAGAAAACTGCCCAGGGAGGTCACGGTTTGGAAATGAAGAAATATAAACGTAGAAAAATAAATCGGTTCATCGAATGAAATAGTTTCATTTGGTTAATTTGCAGGATTGGCGTAAATCGGTTTATTTTTTTTTAATAAAGAAATGGAAGAAAATAGAAATATACACGCAGAGGAATAAATCGGTTCAGCGAATGAAATCGTTTCATTTGGTTAATTTGCAGAATTGGCGTAAATCGTTTTTTTTTTTAATAAAGAAATGGAAGAAAATAGAAATATATACGCAGAAGAATAAATCGGTTCATCGAATGAAATCTTTTCATTTGGTTAATTTGCAGGATTGGCGTAAATCCGTTTTTTCTTTTAATAATAAAAATAAATGTAATCGTAACTCAAGGATTTCGATTATTCGCCGGATCGCGGGAGGATAGCGATAAGCCGTAATCGCGATAATTTGGAATAAAAAAAAATTATATCCAGGGCCGAGTTGGGACTTTGGATAAACGTTAGGTGTGTATATAGGGAGCGTAAATAAAGATAAATGTAATCGTAACTCAAGGATTTCGATTTTTTGCCGAATCGGGGGGGATCGCGATAAGCCGTTCGACGGCGGGATCTGATCCTTGATACATCCTTGAAGGATCTCCCACGTCCTGCGTTAACGAGCGAGGGTGTAGAAAAGAATACACGGGAGGGCCGAGGGGAATCCGATTATCCCGGATCTCCAGGAGATCCCCGAGTATCCGAGACGATCCCGGTCTCAAGGGTGGACTCGTTCGAGGCGAACAAACTTCGGGGAATATCTCCGGGATATCCTTGGAATATCCTCGGAATATCCTTGGAATATCCACTGTTCGCCTCCGAATCGCTCCTTGAAAGGGAGAGCCCCGAGTGATTCAGGGCTTTATAATTGTCCCCTCCACGGGCCGCGAAGGAACGGCAACAACAACAAGAACAAGCCGAACAGTCGCGGGATTACTACCCTCCGACACTTGGCAAACTCTCGTTTGTCTAAGTGAACGAGACTGGCTGGAACACCGGGACGGAAGGATGAGTCGAGGACTCATTTAGATATCTCTGCTGGGGAGGATTGCCAGGCGTTGTAACGAGTAAACCAAGTAGGGCTCTACACCTTCAGGGAAATGCCGGTTCGCTGTAGGGCCTCGAAAAACCGATAAATTATTTCATTTATGTAATTCTCCTCTCTACGCGTTTGCCACCTGTTAGTGAAATTGTACGAGGCGTTCGAAATGATGCATCGAGTCTTATGGATGCTGAGGAGAACTTATTAATGATAAGGCTCGATTTTGTGACAAAATGAATATTTAAAATAATTAAGGATAAGAAAACAAAACAAGTTTGAAAAATAGGAACACCTTGCAGGGCTCGGAAAACCGAGAAATTATTTCAATTACGAAATTATTGATACTTTGTATTATAGGCACTGCTTGATGAAATTGTATGACGTGTTCGAAATGATGCATCGACTCTTATGGATGCTGAGGAGAACTTATTAATAATAAGGCTCGATTTTGTGACAAAATGAATATTTAAATTAATAAAGGATAAGAAAACAAAACAAGGTTGCGAAAGTTTGAAAAATAGGAACACCTTGCAGGGCTAGAAAGGCTGATATATTGTTTGGATTATGAAATTATTAATACTTTGTATTATAGGCACTGCTTAATGAAATTGTACGAAATGATGTGTCGAGTTATACGGACCTTGAAAAGAACTTATTAAAGTTAAGGCTCGATTTTCATAAAGATGAGAATGTTTAAATTAATCGAAGATAAGAAAACAAAACAAGGTTGCCAAAGTTTGAAAAAGAACATAATAAAAATAAGATTCGATTCTGAAAAGATGTATTATTGAAATTGCGTATCGAATAATATGGATGCTGAAGAGAACCTACTAAAAATAAGGCTCGATTTTGTGAAAAAAGAATATTTAAGTTAATCGAGGATAAAAAACAACGCAGGATTGCGAAAGTTTAAAAACTGACGACACCTCGGAGGTATAAAAAAAAATCCAATAAATTATTTCCAGGGCGAAATTCTTGATACTTCGTATTGCAGGCACTTCTTATTGAAAATATATGTGGAGGTGGAAATGATGTATCATAACCTTTATGGATATTGAAGAGTACATACAAGAGCTGGCTGGAAAGTAAAGTCCAATTAAACGCATCGCGAAACGCGAGATCGTTTAAATAAATCGAGGATAAGAAAGCTTAACACAGGACTGCGAAAGCTTGATAAGTGGCAACACGCTGCAGAGGTTCGGAAAGCCGATAAATTATTTACAAAATTTTCCTTATCATATATTAGACCCCTGTTACAAGAAACACGGGCCATTAGAAATGACTTATCCACCCATCGTCCCGATCGCTAAATTATTATTAATTTATTAGCGAGCATTATTCGCGATCATATGCATAAAATAATCTAACGCGTTGACAAGTTACAATGAAACGGCAGGACGTTATATGCAGGTCATTTACATATTTTCCGATAGTCAATAATCGAGGTACCGTGTACGTCATTCCAAGGCAAGTGGTTATGAACTTTTTTGTGGCGACAACGAGAGTTGGACATTAAAGTGACAATACTCGAGGTAGCAGTAATCGGCGAAGGTTGAAAAGCCATTCGATGACCGGATGTCATTCGAGATATCTCCTAATGAACTCCCATACCCTGGTTTAATGAATAGTGGACGTAGGAGGGATATAGCCGAAGGATCGTTGAAGAGGAATTCGATTACGGCGTCTCTTCGGCACGGCCACGGTTCTCCTCCAAATTGGCCTTGGAACTCTCGGGTCCATAATTGCCCCTCTAAGGACCAAGATCCCCGTAATTTGGAAACAAGTTTAAAAAGTCTTGCTTTTTCCTTCGAGAACCCGTTCATCTCCGAGGTACTCTTCCAGATTCCCGGCCCGTAACCTTCGACGCGTTATGGATGCCGAAGAGCATCTTCAGCAGTGGGCTAATAACAAAGTCCAGTTTAACGATTTATTCCCTGAAAAGTGCCTCG